CTGCCGATCGGGGCCCGAGTGTCCTTCCTGCCTGGCAACTTGCGGTTTCGGTATCGAGCGTTTGTCGCCGATTCTTGGTCAATTCCCCCCCTCCCAGTGAGCCAGTCCCTCCTCCTCCTCGATCCTAGATCCTCCTCTGTCCTCGGTCACCGACCTTCCTCAATCCTCGATCCCCGAGCCCTGTTCGTTCTCGATTTTCTATCCTCCTCCTCAACCTCAGATCCTCCTCTATCCGCGATGGCCCTCTGTCTACAATCCTCCCCTGCCCACGATCTTCCCTCACTACAGTCGGGGCCCTGAAGAAGGAACCCTTTTGGTTGGGGAGGGGCTCCGCGTTCCTTAAGTGTTTCACAGCTTGCCTCAGGTTTTCCTTATGATTCCGATAGGAAATCGAAGTTTAGCTGTATCATCCTCCCCTGTCCACGATCTTCCCTCACTACACCTCCACGATCTGAGATCCTCCTCGGCGCAAGATCCTCACCGGCCATCGCTGCTCCTCGATCTGCGTTCCTCCTCGGGCCCCGATCCTCCCAGATCCTTGGCCCTCCACGATCTGCGATGCTCCTGGGCCCACGCTCTTGCCCGATGTCCTTGGCCCTCCCCGGTCCTCCTCCCTCGAGCGTGAAGTCGGGCCTATTCCTCTACAGGAGGAATATCCCAAAATAGACAAAAAATAGAACGGGAGGATTTGCTGAGTATGTTTGCCCTTTTGTTGCATACTTTTGATTCTTCGTCCAAAGTTCCTCTGTGGAAGGACACGCCCGACCTAACTCGAGCGCCGCCTCTTGCCCGAGCATTCTCCTTGGGTGGGGGGCAGAGAGTGACATCTTGAATGCCGTTCCGATTGACTTTCGAGGCTGAATCTGCAAACGGTGAACCACAAGGCGGATGGATTTTCGAGGTGCGCGAGCCCATGTGGATTTTTCGCCCTGGGCCCTCCACCCTCAGAAAATGCTCAGCTTGCGCTCCCGAGGCAGGCCGCCGGCGACGAGCAGCAGCCCCTGCAGGACAGCGGGCGGGAAGGGGGGGGCCGCGCGAGAAACTCCGGTGCCGGCGGCGGGCCTTCGCCTGCGGGCGCCGGCGCTGCCGCCTGGGCATCGCCCGGGCGTTGGGAGGCCACAGGCGAGCCTCTGGGGATTCGGGGGCGGCAAAGAGGACCCGGGGTAAGGGGACCCGGTCAGTGGTAGGGCCCTGGAGCCGTCGAGTTGGCCAGAATCACTAAACCAGGTTACCATAGCTGGTGTTTTTTCGGGTGACGGCAGTTCCGGTTAGTGGAATGGGGCGGGGGGGGCGTTTCAATACACATCACTAAACCAGGTCCCATTAAACCCAGTCCCGCCAACGCCCGAAAAGATGGGGGGTGATGACTGGGGGGGGCGGGATATCATGGCGTGGGCCGTGGCAGTTCCCAAGATTCCATGGCGCCTCTTCTCATTTCATTGCGTCCCTGGCCTCCCCCCTGGGGCCGCGCACGTGCCGCAGGCCATGATTTGCGCCCCCCCCCTCTTGGACGCCCCCCTCTTGGCCGCCCTCGAGGGTTAATTCGGGCGCGTCCCTCGACAGGAGGAATCTTCAAACATAGTCAAACAATAGTCTGGGGGGACGATTGCTTGATATGTTTGTTTACTTGTGGGCATCCTTGAGAATGTTTTAATTTTCGCCCAGAAGCCGCCTGTAGGGGGACATGCCCGACATATATCTAGGCCTCCCAGATGGGGTCCGAGTAGACGGGGTCGGAGGAGGCGACATGCGAACCTCTGGGCCTCCCATAGGGGAACGAAGAATGACATAAACATAACAACTCAGAGGTCCGCGCGGATTTCTCGGATTCGCGCCGGAAGCTCCACAAACTTTAGGATTCGCAGAAGGAGGTCCGCGCGGATTTCTTGGATCCGCGCTGGGCCCCCACCTGAGGCGCCTCCGGCGCTGCCCCTGGCGCGCTCCGCGCGCCAGAGAGCAGGGTCTGGCGCAGATCCAGGAAATCCGCGCGGAGCGCCAAAGGTTTGTGTTTATGGCGTTTTTGTTGTTCTTCTTTACACATGCGAACCTCTAGGCCTCCCAAATGGGGTCCGAGTAGACGGGGTCGGAGGATCGCGCCGCATCGCCGATACATCGGCGATGCGGCGCGATGTGGAGCCCAACTTGCTCCACGCCGACGTCGCGGATGCATCGCCGACGTCGCCAGCGCCCGACCGATGCATCGCGGATGCATCGGCGATGCATCACCGATGTATCGGCGATGCGGCGCGATCCTCCGATCCCATCTACTCGGACCCCATCTAGGAGGCCTCTAGAACCCTACCCCACCACCCTACGATTTCTACGGGGGGAGGTGGGGTTCACTTCGTGCGGGACCTCCCAAGCCAGGTGAACCCCACCTCCCCCTTTAAAATAAAAATAAATCGTGGGGTGCTGGGGCGGGGTTCGCATGTGGCCTCCTAGAGGTGTGCATTCGTTCCTCGGCGGAGACAATCGAGGAGCAGCTCGGATCACCTCACGAGAAATACACGCACGAGATCGAAGAATGTACGGGGAATGTAATAGTAGACGTCCAGGCGATGGCGAGATGGTCCATCGCATGTCTGCCCGATTCCTCGAATTCCTGCGCGCTTGCATTGCCTCATCACGCTCCGCAGCGTCACCGCAGATCCGCCTTCATCGTCATAGCCAACTGCGGCCACTGCCGCCTTCGTTACGATCACATTTATCAGCGACGCATGGACATCATCAGCGTCAATGTCGTCACCTGCACCGGGGCCGTAATTGGCCATGCTGTCGTCATCGCTACCATCGCCACAACCATCGTTATTATTATTATCATCATCGTTGCCACCGTTGTCGCCGACATCGTGATGTCGGCCGTCCGAGTCACTAACCCACACTGGAGTGCCTGCGCGCCAGCCTGGCCGTTGAGACGCGTTTGGAAGTCCCCATCGGTAAGCGCCATCGCGGCCGCATCAGCTGGGCCAAGGCAGGTAGTCGCTCTGCGCGCGAGCTTGCTTGCGCCAGTGCGGCCGTAGAGACGCGCTAGCCAGTTCCAATGGGGAACCGGAATCTTGAAAGAACAGCGCTTGCCAGAGTGGGTGGGTGGGATGTTTGCGCGAGCAGTGGACTTGACGGTCCCAAGATGGCCGATCTGAACGGCACCTGTTAGATCGTACCATATAGCGCCCCAGACACGATCGCGTCGTAAAGCAATCGCGGCGGGAGGTGCTTGTTTGACCAGTTTTCGGCCTCTGGGGTCCCTCGCTGGGCCCCGGGAGTGTCAAAAGACGGCTCAGGATGAACAGCAAGCCCCGTCGAAAGGGTCGGGACTTCGGGGCTGCGTGCTGATAGCCACATAGATCGCAGCACGTAGTTGGCATCGCGCAACTTGCGCCACGTACCCGGTGCCAGCGGCGTATCGTACCAAAGGGCCCTTTGGGAGGCCTCCTGGGGCCCTCTCTGGGCCTCCTGGAGACCATCGTGTGGCCATCGTGGGGCCCCCATCAGGGGCCTTGAGGCCGTCTTGAAAGGGCGACGAAGAGAGAGGAGCAGGAGAAGGAGGAGGAGGAGGAGGAGGAGGGATCCTCTCTCGTCCCTCCCTTCCTCCCACCGTCCTCTCTCTCTCTCTCTCTGTCTCCCTCCTTCTGCTTCTTCCTCTCCCTCCTCCCTCTCTCTCTCTCTCCCTCCTCCCCCCCTCTCTCTCTCCCTCTTTCCCCCTCCCCGCTGTCCTCCTCTTTCATGCTCTTCCTCTCCCTTTTGCCCCGGCACCCCCCACCCCACGCGCCTGCCCCTGCGACAGCACCCGCGTCGCCCCGCCAGCGGGCCTACTCGATGCACAGCTCGGAGGCGATCGCCGGCCTGCAGCGCACCGAGGAGCAGCTGTCGACGCTCGAGGCGCGTCGCTGCTGTTCGAGTAAGGGATCGACTTCAGAGCTGATTTCCCCAGCATTGATTTGTCAGCCACATCTGCGAACATGCGAAGATTGCTCCGTTCATCCATGTATTTACGATCTTTCTAGGCATGTTCCGTCGATTCGACGAGAAAAACAATTTCGGGGCACATCCATTTTGCAGTCGATCCCATACTCGAGTTGTGGGCATCGTCGTGGTGGTCGTCGTCGTGGGGGTCGCCGCCGTCGGGCGATCAGGGGGGATGGAGGAGCAGCAGCATCAGCAGCAGCCGGCGGAGGGGAGGAGCGGGAGGAGGGAGAACCAGGGGCACAGTTAGTGTGGGGGGATCAGGCACAGGGGGGGACGCATTTGCCCCCAATCGCCCACGCATCGCAGACAAGGCCCCCTCCGCCCAGGAGCGCGCGGATTCGCTGTCAGGGGCCTGTCGGCGACGTATATGTCGCCGATGCCAAGGCGATGTCCACCCCCTGTGAACTTGTCACCACCACCACCAACCGCCCTGACGTTCCCCTCAAGGGGAGGAGTTGAAGGAAGGAGAATGGAGGAGGGGAGATGGGGGGGCAATCATGAGGAGTGGGAGGAGGAGGAGGAGGAGGAGGAGGAGGAGGAGGAGGAGGAGGAGGAGGAGGAGGAGGAGGGGGGAATGAGGAGGGGGAGGAGCAACTACATCATCAGCCTGTAGGAGCCAGGAACTAGGAGGCGCAGGAAGGAGGGAGGACGGAGGGCGAGGGAGGAGGTTGCTTCCCTGCATCCCACATCCGTTGTTTTCCATGGGAGCGCCTCCTGTAGGTCCGCACCACCAAGGGCGGTCGCGGGCGGGTCACTGCCCGTTGCGCGCGAGCTTGGATTGCAGGCGACGCGACGGAGAGAGGGAGCCAATTCCAGAGCCTGGGAGGCATTGGAAGGAGGAGCACGAGATGTGGAGGCTGAGCCAGAAAGGGTGAGAGCGATCGAGCGAGATCTTCATTCAAGAGGAGGCGGCCCGCAACCGCTGCGCGTGGGGCGTGCGGTGGATTGATTGTGCCTGGGGAGCTCCCAGCGCAGTCGGCATTCATCAGCCCACCGCATAAAAATCATCCTCCCGCTCCTCTGCCGTCCTCCTGTTCCTCTTCCGCTGGCCGGTCTCGCATTTGAACTGGCCGTCACCACAAGCGTGACGGCCTTGCAGTCGAGGGATTGTTTTCGGTCGATGCTTTGCCCCCCCCCACACACAGCGCGCTTTTTGTCTCGACGGCGCGCTGGCACTCCGAAAGGTGAGCGGCATCCCTGGCCCTTATGATAACACGTCCTCCCGTCTTCCCTCCCTCCTCCTGTGCCTCTTTTTCCTTCTGCTCCCGTTCATTCGTCAGCTCATCCGTGCTAGCGAATCCTCCCCCATTGCAGGCCTCGGACTCCGTGACACAGCCCGGAAGCAATGCGGGCAGTCCCCAGTGTGGTATATGAAAAGTAAATATAATCTATTCTGTGCAATTGGGTCACAGATTATGCGCGTTGCTACGTTCAGTTTGAAGAGGAGTTTCGACCGTAGCACGGTAACTCGTTCATTCGTGAGCTCCGTCGTGCCAGCGACCCTTCTTTTCGAGGTTACGGCCTCCGGGACACAGCCCGGCGGCAAGGCCGGCAGTCCCGAGTTCCATGCGCTACGCCTTGTTTGTGGAAGCGAGCTGCAGCTCCCGTGTGTGTGCTGCCTGTTCCTGTGCTGAAGTTGAGCTCCAACCATGGCGCGGCAGTTCGTTCACTCGTGCGCCCATGCGTGCTGGCGCTTCCCGCCCCCGACTTGACGGTTCGGCCTTCGGGACACAGCCTGGCGGCAGTGCCGGCTTGCCCAGGGCAGTTGTTTGTGAGTGGTGTGTTGTAATGTTGTCGCGCGGGTTAGGAGCACACGTTGTTTGTTACGTTCCCATGTGCGTTTGTTACGGTTTTTTTTTATACGTGGATGTGCGTGTAAAGGTTAATTCCCATGTACGTTTGTTATTTTGGTTTTTGGAGGGTGCATTGTAGTCGATATGTGGTCTCTTTTGCTTGATGTTGAAAAGGAGTTGCAACCATGCGGGCATAGCGCGAGCACACTGGGCGTTCCCCTCTGCGCTTGCCATTGCCATGTCTGCATCCGTTGGCGCACTGGCTTTAGGATCCTCCAGTCTGGAAGACCCGACTGCACCAGAAGCTGCACTGTGGTGCTGGAAGCATTGCGCCTCGCCGCGGCGTGCCGATCGAGTGGAGTCACCATATAAGATGAAACCCATATTGAGTCGGGCCTGCCCCTCTACGGGAGGAGTATCCAACAATAGTCAAAACATAATTAGGGAACGATTTTGTGACTATGTTTTTCTCTATTTGGGGGTTCTGTTTAAACATGTTTTGTTTTTCGTCCAAAATCCGCCTGTACGGGGACATGCCCGACCTGACACAAAAATAAGTTCGACGACGCCGCGGTAGCTCGTTCGCTCGTCAGCTCATCCGTGCCAGCCGCAAGGGGTCTTTCATGCTGCGCGCCCCCCCCCCAAACCTCTCGGCCGGCAACAATCTCGCCCTCCCCTCTCCTGCGCCCCTCGCCCCTCGCCTTCCTCCTCGCTCTCCCTCCTCGCCCTCCTCGCCCTCCCTCCTCGCTCTCCCTCCTCGCCCTCCTCGCCCCTCTACCCCTCGCCCTCCTCGCTCTCCCTCCTCGCCCTCCCCGTGCTCCCCTCAACGCCCTCCCCCTCGTCCTCCCTCTCCTCGTCCTTCCCCTCCTCGCCCTCCTCCTCGCTCTCGCTCCTCACATATCTCCCCGTGCTCCCCTCAGCAGCAGTGGCCACCGCCGGAGACGAATCATGTTTTCCCATCATTTCTTGCCAGTCCCAATCCGTAAATAAGACCGCGCAGTAAATAATCAGTTGCCGCCCTCCCTCCCTCCCTCCCTCCCTCCCTCCTCCTCCTCCTCCTCCTCCTCCTCCTCCTCCTCCTCCTCCTCCTCCTCCTCCTGATCCAAGGAGGTTGATTAAAAGACCCATCTGAGTTAGCAAATCCTACAGCGTTGGAGGCTTCGGCCTCCGTGACACAGCCTGGCGGCAATGTCAGCAGCCCCGATATCAGCGTGTGGGGGAGTTTTCGACCGTAGCGTTGTGTCGGGCCTGTCCCCCTAGTGGGATTTTCGATGAAAAATACAACGTATCCCCAAAATGTGCCAAAAAGGTCAACAAATATTTTAAAAAATAGTCCCCAGACTATTTTCGGACTATTTTTGAACTATTGTGGGGATGTGTTTTAATTGTTCGTCGGAAATCCCCCTGTATGGGTACAGGCCCGACTTAACCGTGGCGCGGCAGCCCGTTCATTCGTGAGTTCCCCCGTGCCAGCGATTCCTCCCGATTTGAGCTGTCAGCCTCCGGGGCGCAGCCTGGCTGGTTTGCTGGCAGTCCTAGATTAATTCATGCATGCTTGTTACGTTACGTTGGTGAAAGAGATGTGTAGTGCGTACTTGGTGTGAAGAGTGCACTCCCCTGCCCCTCTGCCGCCCGTGCCGCCTTGTACGCATGATGCACATGCTTTTCATGTTTGTGGCGTGCACGCTGCCCGCCGCCGTTTTGGCCCCAGTCCTAGGGCCCTGGGACTGCACCCGCAGTTGGACTGCCGCGCGGCCCGAGCTAAAAGAACTGCACTGACATTGGTAGCGGAGCTCGTAAGCTCCAGCGGACGCACTGCGTGCTCTGCTTGGGTGGTTGCGACCACCCGCGCGCGCCGCCATGGCCGGCAGCCAGGACGGCGGCTCGGACGCGGAGGCGATGTCCTCCGCCGGCGCAGGTTCTCCGAACCTGCACGCGGTCCTGCGCGTGATGGCCGAGACCCAGAGGGAGATCCTGGCCATGCAGCGGGATCGTGGCGACAGCGGTCCCAGGCGTGCACGCCTACCGCTGTCTCAGGTGAAGCTCCCGGACTTCGACGGTGCCGTCGGCACTAACACCAAGAAGTACCGAGAGTGGCGCAAGGCTGTGGAGGTCATCCGCAACCTCAACCAGCTCTCCGACGTGGAGCTGGGCCTGATCATCTACAGTCAGGTGACAGGTCGGGCCAAGGAGCTCATCGAGGTACTGGACGCGTCGGACCTCCGGCGTGAGGACACGCTCGAGACCATCTTCGCTATTTACGATGACGCCTTCGAGAAGATGGACCACGAGCGCCTGGATCAGGTGCATCAGGAGTGGGAGCGTGCTCACCGTCGGGCAGGCCAGCCCATCATGGATTGGACAACGTACTTGCGCAAGAAGCGCATGGAGTTGCAGCTCGAGGATCCCACTTCAGCGATCAGTGATCGCGCGCTGGCGAGCAAGATGCTCCGTGGTGCTGGGCTGTCGCAAAGAGAGCGAGCGCAGGTGCTTTTCAATTGCGGCGGCATCTACGACTCGAAGCGGATGGAGGTCGTGCTGAAGGCAGCCTACTCGAAGGTGCACGACACCGAGAAGCGCTCGGTGCTCCCTCGCCGCTCGCCGTTTGTGGCGGCGCAGCGTGAGCACGGGCGCTCCTCTGGGAGCTCGGGCGGTCGCTACCCGCACCCTCCCTTGGCTCGTAGGCCGTGCGTGCTTCGAGGACGCTCTGGCCAGCACGTGCACGAGGTGGAGAACGGCGAAGACAACGATGAACGCGACGGCGACCTGGAGGAAGCGCAGCACGACGAGGAGGAAGCAGACGACCAGGACGACGGAGACCCCGGAGGGGGCGAGGGCATCCTCTTCGTGGACGGCGCCGAGGTCGACGAGGAACTGGCGTCGGACAACGACGGGCCTGACGACGAGGAGTACGAGGCACCGGAGGATCTTCAGGAGGCGTTCTTGGCCGGCTGGAGGGCCAAGCAGAAGACGGCAGTACAGCGTCAGAAGCGCGGGTTCGTTGCCCCTCGGCAGCGGGACCCCAAGAAGATCAACGCCAGCGGCTCCTTCCAGGCTGGTCGCAAGCCGACGGACCAGCGCAAGGCTAACAGCCGGTGTGCTGACTGTGATCAGCCCGGC